GAAGGTACAAAAGTGTTTCTTCTGTAAAAAGAAAAGACACATGAAGAAAGATTGTACCAAATTCAAGAAGTGGATGTCTGATAAGGGTAATATTTCCCCCTTCTTTATATATTCTTAATCTAATATATCAGATGTTAATACTAATTCTTGATGGATTGATTCTGGTTCACCAATCCACATTGCAAATTCTTTGCAGAACATGCAGAATCTAAGGCAGCCGACGGGAACTGAGTGAAGCATCTTATCTGGAAACAAGATTGCATCACTAGTTGAAGCTGTTGAAATTTGCGACTTAGTTTTTTGAATAATGTTTTGTTTTGACATTAGGTGAGACCTTTTATGTTCCTAGTTTTCGAGGAATTTAATTTCAGTTTCAAGACTTGTACCCTTTTGGATTTACATTCGAATTTAATCACAAGTATTTCAAATTATTCAATAATTCCACTTGTGTTTGTGATGGTACATTGTCTGATGGTCTCTATCGTCTTAACTTAAAGAATGATTTAAATCATAATTCTTTACATGTTCAAAACGGAACCAAACGATGTAGTATTAACGAAAATTCATTCACAAATATTTCATCACCATCATTAATGATTTATGAAGATCTACCTATGTTAATTTTCTTCTATAATAAGCATGAAACATTGGATGCCTTTAAATTATTTAAGGCTGAAGTTAAATCCAATGTAACAAGAAAATACAAATAGTTAGATCTGATGTGGGTGGTGAATACTATGGTAGATACACTGAAAATGGACAAACACCAGGTCCCTTTGTAAAGTTTCTTCAAGAGCATGGGATTATTTCCCAATACACCATGCCTGGGTCTTCGGACTAAAACGGTGTTGCTGGATGAAGGAACTAGACCCTTTGAATATGGTGTGGAGTATGCAAAGTAAATCTTGCCTTCCAAAATCGTTGTGGGGTGAAACACTTAAGACGGAAACGTATATATTAAACCGTTTTCCAACCAAGGTTGTCCTTAAGATACCATTTGAGTTCTTCAAAGGTTGGAAACCGAGTTTGCAACATATGCGTATTTAGGGATGTCCGTCTGAGGGGAGGATATATAACCCGCACGAAAAGAAGCTTGACCCAAGGACTATTAGTGCTTTCTTTATTGGATATGCACAATCTTCTAAGGGTTATAGGTTTTATTGTCCATCTCATACTACAAGGATACTGGAATCAAGGGACGCTAAGTTTCTTGAAGATGACTTGATCAGTGGGAGAGATTGATTAAAGGACTTAGTTCCTTCATTCGATCATAATGGCTCTCAACCTTCTACGTCATCTAATGGGGTTGTAATTATACGCAATGTTCCTTCGGTCCCACTTGCGATTATACAACCTACTGTTAAGATTCCACCAACTGTTAAGACTCAACCTTTGGAAGAATCACTTCAGGACTTATAGCAATTTCCTGAACTAGATTCTAAACTTATGGTTGAACCAATTCAGGATTTACAAAATTCTGAACCCCGATACAGACTAAACCAATCCAAGGACTGCCCCCAGTTTTTGAAGAGGTAGTTGCACCACAACCTTTGCAAGGTGATGGAGGTTCAACATTAAGACGGTCTACTCGGTTGAAAAGATCAACAGTACCTAGTTATTACGTTTCGTATCTACAAGAATCTGACATTGGAGTCGAAAATGATCCTAAGATGTTTTCTCAAGCCACTAAATGAGCCCAATCCGACTTATGGTATAAAGCCATGAAATAAATTCCATGAAGTGCAATGGGGTTCGGGAACTTGTTGAATTGCCTTATGGTTTGTAAATTGGTTTTTAAAACCAAAAGAGATTCATTAGGCAATATTGATAGATACAAAGCCCGACTTGTTGTGAAGGGATTTACTCAAAAGGAAGGAATTGATTACAAGGAAATGTTCTCCCTTGTATTAACGAAAGATTCACTTCGAGTCATTTTAGAATTAGTTGCACATTTTGAGTTACAACAAATAGATGTGAAAACTGTGTTTCCTAATGGTGATCTAGAAGAAGAAGTTTATAGGTTTCTCTTCTAGGGGTGGTGAGAATTTATTTTGTAAGCTTAAGAATCCATATACGGTCTAAAACAAGCTTCCCATCAATGGTATATCAAGTTCGATGGGGTTATTTCTTCATTTGGTTTTGTTGAAAATCCTCTTGACCATTGTATATACCGGAAGGTGAGTGGGAGTAAAATATGCTTTCTTGTTTTATATGTGGATGACATTTTGCTTGCCACCAATGACAATGAGATGTTTCTTATGTGAAACAATTTCTCTTGAGGAGAGTTTTGAGGTATCTAAAAGGAACTAAGAGTCACGTGCTTGGGTTTAGGCAGACGGACATCCTAGATGTTGTCGGTTATTCTGATACGGACTTCGCTGGTTATGTTGATTCTCGAAGATCAACTTTAGGGTACATTTTTTATTATGGCCGGTGGGGCTATCTCATGGAGAAGTGTTAAACAGTCTTTAATAACTACTTCTACCATGGAAGCCGAGTTCGTTTCCTGTTACGAGGCCACTTCATAAGGTGAGTATATTATTACATCTACTATCTACTTATATATACTAATAAGAGCCAAACAAAGTTAGGCCTATAATGGTAAAAAATATGGTCGTCAAATTATTAATTCAAATAAATGGTTTAGATTGTTCAGATTTTAATTTTTCCTTGAGATTTCCTAATTTATCTTTAATTATATGATTATCCGTTAACTTTCCCGTTAAATATTATCTTTTTCGTTAATTCACCGTTAACATTGCCTAAAAATCCTTATAAAATTCTAATATTAAAGTCTTAAGAACTCTGATCTAACCCACAATTTTGTTAATGATATATTTCTATATATTAATTTTTTTCTACAAAAAAGAAAAATTAAAAATAAACTTAATTTTTTTATTGAAAACAAAATAAACTTAATTAAAAAAAAATAGAATAACGTGCCATGGTATATGACTATATGGTATACCCGTTATTATCAATAACATATCTTTATCTATCTGGATTTGATAGTTCCCACGTTTACATGCGAGTGAAATTTTGCATACATCATCTTTAATCTATATCAAGTCTTTCTAACGTGTTGCATGTTTTGAATCTCTCTTTGAGCACCGCACAATCAAGCATAACACTTTACCGTTACATATTCCGCTGTGCACACTCTAAGTTGTTTAACTTGTTTATACTTGTTATTTAGAGTTGAAATTACCAAAGTGTTGTGTGTTTAAGAAAAGTTTGAAAAGTTAGAGAAGTCTATTAATCCCCTCGAGACTTCTCGCCACCCATTCGGGACCAACACATGTATCAATTTTAGTCCTTGACTATTAACATTTTCAAATTTGGTGCATAACTATTTAAGTTGTATCACATTTGGTCCTGCTGTTAAATTTCCGACCAAGTCACCAGTGACCGACTAATTTATTTATTTTTTATTTAAAAAATTATTTTTTAAGTTAAAAACCTTTAAAAAAAAAAAAAAGAAGTCCGGCCACCCTCCTACCCTCCTCCTTCGTCTCCGGCAGAGACGATGGATGAGGGTGGCCGGCATTTTTTTTTTTTTTAATTTTATTTTGTTTTATTTTTATTTTTATGTTTTTAAATTTAAAATTTATTAAAATAATTTTTAAAATAAAAATTAAATAAATTAGTTGGTCACCGGTGACTTCGCTAGAAATTTGGTCAAAAAATTTAACGCCAAGACGAAATGTGATACAAATTGAATAGTCATGCACCTAATTTAAAAATGTTTATAGTCAAGGACTAAATGTAATACAAGTTGAGTAATTATGCACCTAATTTGATAATTTTAATAATCAAGGACTAAAATTGACTCATGTATTCTTGTCGAGGGACTAAAAATGATATGTTCTAAAAGAATTGTATATATACAAGTGCAAACTCACTTTTTTTTTTTGACAATAGTGCAAACTCACTTCTTTCTCCAATGTGAGAAAAAGGTTTCATCAAAGTCTTCCAATTTTTTTCAACTCAAATGGTTCTTGAAAATCAATTTCCTATTCACATATTATTATCCGTTTTGACTATATTATATATTAAATTAAAGCTCTTACTTTGGAAAACTTAAGTCCACTTAGATCAGAGCCAAATTCAAAGTGGATCCACTCAAAACATGCCCGAAAATAGTCATTTCACATGTCAAAAATAACTACTTTTTCGACATAATAATTGTAAGTGTACAAAGTTAGTACACATTAAAACTTATGTTTGCTAATTTATTTTATTTTATTTTTAATAGATTTAAGTTAGGCTAAGCTTTTGGAACATTTCCTATCATATGATATTTATTTGAGTGGCTATCAATTATTGGTTACATGAGAAAGGAAAGTCAGCAGAACTTGTATTTGGTGGATGCTCATTATGAGGATTTCAAAATTAAAAGAGTGGTTGTGGTTCTTCGAAGCAAATGGCATGCTATTAATATAGATCAAGCTGGTTGAGTAAGTATTACTATAAAAGGAAGGCATCCCATTATGGAAACTGACGAATTGAGAACTGCCAAATTGAGAGAGAGGAAATTCTATACAGTGCTATCTTCTTAATCTATTTTATTACATTGCTCTATGTGGGTTTTATTCTGAGTTGTACTGTTTGTACCTGGGTTAGTTGAAACTTCACTTGAAGATTGTTAAGACATACACGGTTAAGTTCTAAGTAGGTGTTAGGAAAGGTTGTGGTAGTAACGGTTGATAGTCATTTGTACTTACCTCTTGTAAAACTCCTTGGTGAACATCTATAGTGGATTGGGCAGACGTGGGTTGCCCCGCAGATGTAGGAGAAGCGCTCCAAACTGCGTAACAATTTATTGTGTACTTGATTTATTTTTTGTACTTAATTATCGTTATTTATTATTGATAAATGACTAAATTAATGAATATGATTATAACTTAATATAAAATCAAGTTAGTATCATCTTGCATTCAAGATTCACGGCACACTTACAATGATCTATGGTAAGAAAATGTAATAGGAAAGTATAGAACTATTTTCTAAGAACACTTTACAAGGCATTGGCTCATATTAAGAATAAAAAGTTATAAGTTAAAAAATAAAAGTTAAATTAGATGATTATATATATTGGAGTTATGAGTGTTTGGTAAACTTGTTAATTAATTAGTAATTTATTGTGTGTTTTTATTATTTAGTTACACTTTTATTAGGATGTAAATTTGTTAGATTAAAGGATTAGTTTTGAAATTTACAAAAATTAATAATGATTCTGTATTTTGCGATTTTAATTTTCATCTTCATCTCTTAAAATTTTAAATATATATTTAATTAATTAGTAAAATGAATATCAATTAATTATTAAAAAAAGTTGTTTGACAAAACAATTGACAACGTTTATTTGATAAAAGAGTGACAATGCATATTTAAAAAAAATGGAAATACTTTTTTTTTTTTTAGCATTTAATCTATTTTGTGTTATGTGAAAATTTCAAAAGTAATGTTTGACGTCGATCAAATTCATATAATTATATATTTCATACATTATTGCACATAATATAATTAAAAATAATTATCAACAATAATCAACACAATCATGTATAGTATGTATAATGATATTGAACTGTTGGTACTAATAATGTCGACTGACATGATAAATTTGTTCTATAACTTCGGCTCTTCAACTCAAGTTTTTTGGCTCTGTCCCTACTTTCAGGTCATTGTTACAGACTTACCGCCAGTTTGTTCACTGGAAAATATTTGAAAGGAAATGGAATTCAAATTCCATGGAAAACAAATTACCAGAAAAATAGATTTTATTGTTTGGTTAGTGGAAAACAAATTAGTGGGAATATGAATTCCATTTGTTTGGTTGAATATGGAATGGTAAGAAATTATGAATAAAAGACCAATATGCCCTTATCAATAATATATACATGTGTAATTAATAAACTTTGATGAGGGTAAAATAGTCCAATTTTGTTAATACTTTCTTCCCAAATCCTTTGGAAAACAAAATACCAATCTTTTGTTAAGATTTTGTTTTCCTTCACTTTTAAAAAGCCAAATTTCAATAAAAAAATATTTTCTATGCAACGAAACAACATAAAACAATATTTTTCTCCTATTTTAAAAAAATATTTTTCATGAAAAATATTTTCCATCCCACCAAACACTCCCTTATAATTGATTCGAATGATAGTAACTCGTCTATCTAATTAATGAAGAGACGAACGTATTGGTAGAAAATTTCTTGAAATTGTTGCCATCGAATCAGGAGATGGCAGAATTGGACGTCCAAGAAGACTTGTTGGCAAGAATGACTTATTCTCCACGCTCATATATACAAAAATGTTTAGCAGCGGCGAGTTCTCAACGTCATAAAAAAAAAAAAAATTATATGAATGAAAGAAAGCTTTTAGATTATACCATTCAAACACCTTTAAAAAATTGTATATATATTAATACAAATTTATTGGTGCAAACTCGCTTCCTTCTTCAATGTGAGACAAAAATTTCGTCAAAGCCTTTTCAATTTAAATGGTTATACTTTGAGAATCAATTTTTCATTCATATATTATCCGTTTTGAGTATATTATACGTTGAATTAAAGCTCTCACTCAAGAAAATCGAGTCCACTTAGATCCGATCTAAATAGAAAGTAGACCCCACTCAAAATTATGCTTGAAATAGTCATTTCACATGCTAAAAATGAGTTAATACCCAGTATAGTCCTCGACTATAGTGGTTTTACTCAATTTAGTCCTAAATGACATGTTCTGCTCAATTTAGTCACCGACTTTAATGGTTTTACACAATTTAGTCCTTTGTTAAAAATTCTGTTAGTTGATGGTTAGAATTGTGGTCCTAACAGTAATTTCTCATCCTTCATCCCATTTGAGATTTTTCTTCCCCTTATTAAGATCCACACAGAAATACAAATCTTCATACCCAAATCCAATTAAAAAGGCTATTTAATTAAAAAAAAAAAACATTTTAGGCAAATATTTATTTATTTAGGATTGAAGTTGATTTAGGGGTGAAGATCTCCATTTATGCGTTGAACTTAATAATGGAAAGAAGAAGGAATCATCCGAAATGAGGTAAAGATGATAAATTATCATTAGGACACTATTTCTAACATCCAACTAACAGAATTTTTAACAAAAGGATTAAACTGTGTAAAACAATTAAAGTCGAGAATTCAATTGAGCACAAAAAAGTCATTTAGAACTAAATTGAGTAAAATTACTATAGTTAAAGACTATATTAGGTATTAACTCTGCTAAAAATAACTAATTTTCCAACATATTGATCCTTTTGTAAGAAAATGTAATAGGAAAGTATAGAAATATTTTCTAAGAACACTTTACAAGGCATTGGCTAATATTAAGAATAAAAAGTTAGAAGTTAAAAAATAAAAGTTAAATTAGATGATTATATATATTGGAATTACGAGTGTTTGTTAAACTTGTTAAGTAAGCTGCTAAATATAAAATGACAATAAAGAATATCTACCTGAAGTAAAACATGTGGATTAAGGTTTTAATTTTCTCCAATTGTTCTCAATTTCTCATGCCAGCACTTGAACAACCATATGCTCAATGGACTGAATAGTAGAGAGTGCTCCATTGTGTGACACAAAAGTTGAAATAGTTGGGATTCGTCTCTCCCTCCATTGGCGCCAATCATCAATATATGATGGATGGTCGGGACCAATGCTTCTAAGTTAGCACTCTTTGAAATGATTCAGGATATTCTCAATTTCACGCAAAAGGATAGCTACTTCACAAACATTTTTCACCATTTGCTTTATGGCATTGTAACATCACTTGGTAGTTATTAGATGCGGCAAATTGGTAAGACGATGAGAATATAATTGTGTTGTATTCCGTGATAATGTCTGAGAGTACATGGAGCGAATATATAGAGATGCGAGATAGAATCCTAGTCTAACACGAATAATATAGTTCTAGTCTAATATGGATAATAGTCCTAATACTCACCCTCAAGCACAAGGTTGGTCAGCCAAAACATTGAGCTTACAACGGAGTAAATTAAAACGTACAGACGAAAGAGACTTAGTAAAAATATCCGCTATCTGATATTTGGTAGAAATAAAATTGACTTATAATTCATTCTTCGCGACTTTATCACGAACAAAGTGGTAGTCGATCTCAATGTGCTTGGTGTGAGCATGAAACACCGGATTAGCACACAGATAAGTAGCTCCCAGATTGTCACACCAGAGTTTGGGCACAGCAGGTGGCGCAAACCCGATTTCCTTCATCAGAGAGACGAGCCAAGTAACCTCTGTAGAGACATCAGCCAGTCCTTTGTATTCAGCCTCAGTTGAGGAACGAGCCACAGTACGTTGTTTTCGACAAACCCATGAGACAAGATTGGTCCCAAAAAATACAGCAAAACCGCTAGTAGATTTTCGATCATCAGGATTGCCAGCCCAATCCGAATCAGAATATGCATGAATATCTAGAGAATGAGAAGAAGTAATCTTAAGACCAAGATGTAGTGTCCCATTTACATACCGTAACACCCTCTTGAGAGCCGCCCAATCCGCAGTAGAGGGAGAGTGCATGTGCTGACACAAACGATTGACTGCATAGGAAATATCAGGCCGAGTTATCGTAAGATATTGCAGAGCACCTGTAAAGCTGCGATACTGAGTGAGATCAGCATACGGTACCACGACATTAGTCTCGGCCTTCGCGGTTGAAACCGGAGTAGCCACGGGCTTGCAATCAACCATACCTGCCCGTTTTAGAATATCCTTCATGTGCCGTTGTTGAGACAGAAGCATGCCATCAGACAACGGAACGGTCTCAATACCCAGAAAGAATGAGGGCACACCCATATCACGAACTTTAAACTTAAGAGCCAACTTGTCAATAAGAGCAGTCACATGAGCCGGATCAGAACCCATAACCAAAATATCATCCACATAAACCAGAAAATATAGACGAGTATTGCCATGTGAATATATAAATAGAGAGACATCCTTCTCGGAAGGTGAGAAACCAGCAGAAACCAGAAATCATGCAAACGAGTGAACCAAGCACGGGGAGCTTGCTTAAGCCTATACAAAGAACGTTGAAGGAGACAAACGTGCCCGGGCATCGTTTTGTCTTCATAGCCAGGGGGCTGACGCATATAAACTGTCTCAGCGAGATTGCCGTTTAGGAAAGCATTGCGTATGTCTAGCTGTCGAATAGTCCATCCACGAGAAATAGCTAGGGATAAGAGAAGACGTACCGTAGTCGGTTTAACAACGGGACTAAAGGTCTCAAAGAAATCCTCACCGACAATCTGATTTAATCCCTTGGCAACTAACCGAGCCTTTTAATGCTCAATCGAACCATCAGCCTTTCTCTTGGTTCTAAACACCCACTTACATCCAACTACATTCATACCTGATTTAAAGGGAACAAGCCTCCATGTATTGTTGTGCACCAAGGCATTAAATTCCAAATCCATTGCATCCCGCCATTTAGGAAATTTAACCTCTTGAGCAAAACATGTAGGTTCTGGAGTAACAGCAGTAGCAGATAAAGCAACATGATCGTGTGGTCCCAAATTTCTCGTATTCATTCCATGAGAGCGAACGGGTGAGAGCGCGGGACGAGACCGACCATGAGGCCAGCCTCTTGGCCGAGGAGCTGGCTGGTCCGTGACTGTTCGCTCGGACTCGGTCACGGGCTCGACAGTAGCAGCCTGCTGGCGGTCGTGGTCAGAAGCGGATATGGGCGCGGCAGGAGGGTCATGAGCCGTGACAATAGTTGGACCACCACCAGAAACAATTGGTGCAACACCCCACGGCTCCGGGCGTGGTTTTGGAACCTGCGAATCCACAGAAGCAACAAAAGGAAAGACAGCCTCATCGAATCGCACATGGCGACAGATAAAAACCTTGTTAGTGTTAGTGTCTAAACAACGATAGCCACGAAAAGATGGAGGATATCCTAGAAAAACACAAGGGGATGACCGAAACCGTAGTTTGTTGCGATTATAGGGACGCAGATTTGGAAAGCATAAACACCCAAAAACACGCAGATATGAATAAGATGGAGGAGACCGATGCAAGAGATAATGAGGAGATTTATCAGATAAGACAGGAGTGGGCATTTTATTGATTAGATAAACCGCAGTTTCAAAAGCATAATCCCAAAAACGAGACGGAACAGAGGATTGAGCCATTAATGCTAGTCCCGTTTCAACAACATGCCTATGCTTACATTCTACCCTGCCATTTTGTTCATGAGTATACGCACAGGATTGCCTATGACGAATACCTAAGGATGCAAGAGTGGAACCAAGCTTTTATATTCTCCCCCTAAATCAGATTGAAAAGAAATAATCTTGCGAGAAAAGGAACGTTTAACTAGTGACCGAAACTTATCAAATATAGCATACAAATCAGATTTAGCACGCATGAGATAATACCATATATAACGAGTGTAATCATCCACAAACAACACAAAATATTTAAAGCCAGACGCAAAAAGTAATGGCGCAGGGCCCCAAATATCTGAATAAATTAATTCCAAAGGATGCGTACTAGTAGTTTCGATACGAGACAAAGGAAAACGAGAATATTTTCCTAATTGACAAGAGGAAGAGACATTGGGAAGATCACTAGAATTAAATGTACCAACAGACGAAGACGCTAAAATTTTACGTAATACTCGAGAATGAGGATGCCCCAACCGCATGTGCCAAACGTAAGAGGACCGTGCAGCAACAAATGCAGCAGGGGAAGCAGAAGACGCAGGCCATGTGTAGAGACCCCCAGACGCATGTCCCTTAAAAAGAACCTTCTTGGTCAAAATGTCTATCACATAGAAACAAAGAGGGTGAAACTCAAAGAAAACATTATTGTCCTTTACAAAACGCTGGACAGATAACAGAGAAGAAGAGAGACCAGGGACATGCAAAACATCATGTAACTTAAAAGACATAGAATCAGTGGCTAACGAAGCAGAACCAACATTAACAATAGGCAAACCTGTACCATTGCCGACTCGCAGAGTCTCCGG